CGCCTCGGCTCCTACCTGTGGTGAAGGAGGAGAAGAGGCGGGTGTTGCCCTGAGCCAGCGACGTGTAGCTGACCCAGCTGAGATAGAGCACCACAGGCGTCCACACCAGGAACACCACGTACCTAGAGCGGGGCGCGAGGTGGGCGTCAGCAGCGCCCGCCAGCAGCCTGGCCCCCACGGCGCGGCAGCGCGGCCACTCACCATGCCGTCTTGGAGAGAGCCTCCACAAAGTCCGAGTGGAAGAGGCGGATGGGCCGGTCCACGGGCTGGGGCACCCACTCGTCGTACTTCTCACCCAGGTGGCCCAAAAAAAAATGCGCCAGTCCACCAGGTCCTGGGGAGCACAGGGTGTCAGCGGCGCCGCGCGGAGCCGGGCAGCCTGGCCGGCCGCTTGAGTGGGCACTGCCATGATGCTCTCCCCCCTTGAGCTATCAAGGTCAAACAGCAACCCAGACACCCCTTGAAAGGGGCCAGGATGCCTCCCCTCGCCAAAGGGCTTTCTTGGTAGCGCACAGTGGCTGCTGCCCTTGTTGCTTGGAGCAGAACAAAATGGGGAGAGGATGCAGGATGGGAAGGAGGGTTCCGATTCCCCTGCTGCACACGGCTGCCTTCCCACAACAGAGCGCGGTGCAATCCAGGCTCATGTGCACATACACACGAGCCCACATGGGCAACCAGCTCTGCGCTGCAAGGAGAGAGGCCTGACCGGCAGTGCTGCCTCTCGAAGTCGTCGCAATCACCGAGATGCCTCTTCCACCAGCCGCGCCAGAAAGCTGTTTCTCCATCCCACCCGTGCCCCGGGACAGATACCGCGCGGGCACAGGCAAGCACGGGATGCACCAGCTTCCTAGTGGCGTGGTCACTGCCGCCCGGCTCACCAGCCACTTGCTCAACCCAGTCACCACAGAGAAAATCCCATGGGCAGGGCAGCGGGAGGAGCGACCTGGACAGCAGCTGGGCGCTGTCCCTTCTCGGGCTCCTTCGAGAGCCTGTCGGCAAATGCCAGGCTGCGCATGACCCGTCCCCAGCGTCACCTTGTCCAGATCCACCGTTTTACACCGCGGATCCATCCGGCTCGGTGCCACAGCTGCCATGTCTGCCAGCTTCTCTTTCTCCAGGAGCCTCGAAAGACAAGGAGGAGACAGGGCTGTCAGGCTCCCATGGCTGCCATATCCCCAAACAACAGGGGGGACTCACTGCCACCGAGGCTTTTGGGGTGTTTCTTTGCAAAATCTGCCCCACAAAAGGTTAATTTAGGATGCACAGTCATTAGTGGTTTAAACTCCCAAAGAAGTTCCAATCAATCCCCAAACAGAGCTCCCCTCGCTACCCAAGTGCCAACCACAGGGCATCTCCCTGCTAGTGCCGCACGGCCCCACGGGCACCAACAGGGCACGGGAACAAGCGCCCCGTCGTGCGGCCGCGCTCCGCAGCGTCCTCCTGCGCTGCACAGGGCAAAGGAAAGGAGCTACCCCAAAAGTGTTGCCCTCAACACAGAAAGATACAAGGAGCAAAAACGCGGGGAGGTGAGAGCCCCCTGCGCCGTGTGCCGCCGTGTCTGTGACACCGTGCCAGCCTTGAACGC